TCTTAAAGTTGTTCGTTTTTTTTTTAATAGTTTAAGCGTGTGTAATTCTTTAATTTTTATTTAGTTTTAGTTTTCGACTTTTAAATCTAAACCAGTAAGTAACAGGTATAGGCCAAAAAGCTTTTCATCAAATTTAAATGTGGGATGTTTATTGACCATCACAGCCGCCCACTTGAAAATTGTTTTATTTTTCATTTTTATGTTTTGTAATATATTTTTTTTTTTTTGGTATCACCATGTGGTAACGCGCTTCTCTGCTACTTCTTTAGTTAAAAATTGTTATTTTTTCTTTATATATTAGTAAAAAAAAATGAATTCATTCAGTTGAGTTGCGTTGTGTTGATTAGGTTTTAGGCCTTTTTTGTTTGTTGGTTTTTCTTTTTTCTTTAAAATTTATGTGGTTTTTAAGAGTATTTATTAACTAGTTTTAAAAGATTATTTTATTGTTAAGAAAAAAATTTATTAATTAATACTTATATAAAAATGTGTATATGTAAGTACATTATATATCACGAATTTTCATAATAGCTGTTACTGAATTAAGATAATTTTGATAAATATTTAATTTTTAATGTCTTATAGCTTAATTTCTCGAAATATAATTAAAAAATTAGGTTTAAATTTTTTAAAAATGCTGATATTAGAATAAAATTAATATGAATGTTTAAGGTTCAAAGGGAGATTTGTATTACGCTCTATAGAACATATATACATGTACATAATTCTATTGTTATACATGATTTATATGCTGTTAATAATTACATATATATACCTAATTTATTCACTTACTGAGAACAAATTTACTTGCATGTTATCAATACTCAATGTATGGCGTGCTGTTTATTGCTGTTAAAATATTATGATATTTATATTTTTCTCATTCCTTATAGTACAGATTTTCGTAAATTCAATACTGCAAAACAATTAATTAAAAACGCAATTCTGCAAACATATAATGTTACGTGTTTGCAATACACTTTTAGCAATATTCTATGAGAGCAAAGCAGTTCATATTATGATTTAATTGCTCTACCTAAAACAATTTTATTATATTGTTAAAAATTTTGCAATGTTTATGAAAAAACTTGATAATGTGACAACAGTTCCATGTCAATATTATTAGTCAAGAGCTCAATATTATTAGTCAATGTTTCTGGGATTTTAATTTAGTAATCAACTCAATTAAATTAAATTTCTAAAATAAAATTTATTTTGAACTTGTTGAGCAATGCAGAATAGTAGGTATGATATTTATATATACAAGCTTCACAATCTCTTATCATTCTAAACCGAGGCTAATATGGTATTACATTTAGCACATTGGACAAACGTTTGCTTCTATATAATCCGTCTACATAATTATATAAAGTAGTTAAATAAAAATAAGAGCAAAAATATTTGTAAACAGTTAAAAATTTGTTATATAATATTTGTTATACGTATAGATACTATTTTTTAATAATTAAACTTGCGTCTACTATATATGGGATTAAAGAAAAATAAAATATTTTATTTTTAAATCGCAAAATAAATTTTTAAAATTATTTCTAATATTTTTGTTACTTTGTATTTATGTAGCACAAAAAATTCATTAAAATTTAAAGAAACGCATACATACTTATAAAAATTGTTTGTTGTATATTCCAAATATGTACTTAAAATTATTTCTAGTTTTTTTTATATAACATAAATATTATTTTTTTTTTCTTTAATTCAAAAGTACCATTCAAATGTTGTGAAGTGCTTGACAAATTAAAAAAAGAAATAAATATAGTTTTAATTTAATTATTATTAGTTTTTGGACTTAACAACAATTTCGCTTATTGATAAATATTAAAATTTCTATCAGAATTTAATTTGATGTAATAGCGTAATTTCATGCGAACAAGAGGGATTTTTTAGAGTTTACAAGAAAATTGAACTTGAGTAGCAATTCCCATATAAGAAAATAAAAAATATTCAAATTATATTGTAATCAAAAAGTAATATGAGAAGATATAAGAGCAAAAAACACGATTTTTTCAATTCGAAACGCAGATTGGATTAAGTCAGGAAAGCTTATCCTGTGGCTATTAAAAAATTTATTCTGTGGCTATATAAAATTTCAAATTTTTTAAATACTACACTAAACTATCTATGTGTCTTCAAAGAGAAAATAACCTAAAGGCATGAAATTGCATGACATCGGCGATAAGTTGATAGAACCAAAAAGTGATATACTTAATTGTTCACTTAATAAATTCTTATTCAATTAATATTTTTATTATATATGCATATACACATCTTTTTTTTCCTTTTCCACTCTTAGGAGGTGTATAGGGCTAGTGTACGACATCATAGTAGAAGACATAATTCCTTCCATTATTTGATATTCCCAATTTAATCATTCGATTTGACGTTATGAACTGTCATACGAATCACGTCTTAATTGTCAACAATAAAGATTTCAAAAATTATCCAACAAACAATCAACTATAACATCAAATTTAAAAAAAAAAGAAAAAAAAAGTTCACCAAGTACATGTCAAAGTTTCCCACTTAAATCTTTTAATTTTTTGTTTCAATTTTATTTTTAGCTTGTATTTAAAATATTAAAATAACTTCAAAGTATTCACAAAATAATTTTAATGACAATAAAAAACAATGACATTTAATTGATTTAACATTTCGACATAAGCAAAATATTCGTTTGATTATCATTAACAAAATATTTACTTAAAAAAAAAAATTGACATTAGTCATTTTTCTCTTCATTCACAAATTCAATTCATTTTTTTAAGAATTGAACTATTGAGATTCTTTAAGTATAATGGGCATATAAAGGAAATAAAATGTTTGAGAAAAAAAAAATAATGTCAAAATATTTTGTAATTATTTTTCTTTTATCGTTATCTTATTTGTCAAATATTGTTATTATATTTGTTAAAAAGAATATAAAAACAAAAAACAAAAATAAAATCAATTTTTAACCTTCACTCGTATCATTGACTTTTTGGCAAAATAAAAATTACTTATAGAAAAATTTCCGATTTTACTTGCTTTTCTTGTAAATCTATTTTATGTAAACAAAAACATGAAAAGAAAATAAAACAAAAAATTTTTTTTTTTTTATTTAATGAGTGAGTAACCAACAAACTCCTACACTTTGTGAATTATTTTTTTTTTTCTTTTCAATTCTCTCAATTCCCTTGTTTCTTTAACTTTACTCCGGAAATTTCATTATTTTGAGAAATTTTTAAAAAATTTTATTAGCATAAAATGTTTTAAGGCAATATTGTTTTTTTTTTATTGTTTTTTGTTCCTATCGATTAATTAACACATAAAATGGTATTTAATTTTTTATACTCAAATGTTTCTTTCAGGTTATAAAAGACTTCAGCTGCGATTTAAATTAAAAAGGTTTTTTTGTGTGCAAATGAAGCAAGAAGTATAAATTGTTAAAGTAAAATATACGCACATTATATAATAATGAAAATGCCTACAGGACATCATTAAACTGAATATTATTTAACCTCTGTCTGACCCTATTAATAAAGAATTAAGTTTTTCAAAAGTATAAATTTGAAATTCTCAATTTAATAAGGATGAAATTAAATTAACAGAAATTAAAAGAATGTTACGCTTAGCCTATTTATTGACTCGATTTTTTTGTACCATACTTATTAGAATGTATGTAATTATAAACTACATATTTCTACATAAAATCTATAACAAAATACTTGTAGAAACACAAACTAGGTTAAAAATTATTAAATTAATTTTTGTTATTAAAGTTACCAATCTACTGTTTTGGTTATATATATGAAATCTGTAATATTGAAATAATAAATTTATTCTTTATTTTATAATATAAAAAAATGTTTAAGTATCAGTGATTTTTTTGAATTATCAGACCAGAAATAATGAATTTATTTATATATTATTTTATATTTCAATTTGAAAGTTCGGTTCAAATTTATTCATATCATTTATTTCTTTCTATTTTAAGGAAAATATTAGAACAATCAATAAACAAAAAAAATTAATGAAAATTTAAGCACGATCCTCAAGTAAGAGAACAAAATGTTAAAAAAATTTTGAAGATAAATGTTACTAGCTAAATTCAATTTTAAAATAAATGCTAGTAGTATGTACTTAATTAGATTTTTTGCTATACTCATGAATATTATTCGATGATGCAAAAAAAAAATCAAATTTTTTGAAAATGAAACCTAAAAAATTGAAGAATGAAATAAAAAATACGTTCTAAATTATAAGGGAAGAAAGTTGCCTTATCCAAAAACCAAAAACAATAATTTTGATTCATTCTAATTTGTAAAGAGAAATTAAGACATGAATACAAATTTCTTTTATTAAAATTAAATTTCAAAAATTGAAGAAAAAAAAATGTATCGTTTTTACTGGACAATTATTTCACTAGCACTTACGATTTAAATTCTCTTATATACTTGCTGTTAAAAACACATTCAACACGTACGTCGTGTAATATATATATATATATATATATATATATATATATATATATATATGTATGTAAATACAAATTATAACTTAGAACAATTAAAAAAAAATGAAACATGATTTTTAAAGAAAATTGAAGATTATACTTATTTTCAGAAAAATATTTTTACATACTCTTGTAAAAAGTCTATTAGAGCAAATATACACAAATATATTACAATATTATGTGTACTTATATTTTTATAATAGTATATATGTAATTTCGTATATATTTTATATAATATTATATGTACATACATTTAATATATATTTATTAGCATAAACAATTGGCGGTCTCTTTACCATTGTTTATTTATATTATAATATATTTAAACTAACTGAACCATAACTTACATAACATTGTAAAATTTTTATCTTTACTTATATATATATATATAAGAAAGCATATCGTAATTATATATATGTATATATGAAAAATTATTCTATAAATATAATATGTATTTAAATATGTATATGTAATTATTGGTGTATAAAATTACCTCACTTCCATTCTTAGTGAAATTTTTTATATTATATATTCTGATGTTTTAACAACTGTTTAAATTTAAAACCACATTTATACAAAAATTTCAAAAACAAAATAAAAGCAAAAAAAAAAAAACACACAAAATAAATTCATTCACTTCTTAATTACATACTTAAAACATTGTAGGTAAGTCTATACACATATTATTTTTTTATTTATTTTTTCTATTAAATTCATTTCACCTGTATTACTTTTACAAATTTACGTATATTTTATATATGTACATACATATTTATATAATTTAAATTTAAATATACACATTACATATTTTCTTTTTTGTATTTATTTTAAAAAATTGAATAATAATAATATAGTCCACAGTTAAATAGAACGTTCTTCTCTTTCTCTATTGAATTTCATTTAATATGAGAAGATCCCTTGGAACATATTTTATATTATGTTTGTATGTATGTACGTATTTTTTTTTAACGATGTATACGTCCGGTCCGGAAATATTACAATTGTTTAAAAACTCTTTATATTTTAATGTGGCATTCAAATACACTCTTTTCAAATAAGTTTTTCGGTTTTCGTTGTTTTTTTTTTTACATTTGAAATAGGGGTCTTAAAAATTTTATAAAAGAATGAAAAAAATTGAAAAAGAAATTTTTTTTTGTCACCACTAAATTCAAAGGATAATTTATTATTTTTCACTTAAAAAACAAGAAGAAATCAAAAAAAAAATTGTTCTTATTTTGCTGAGATCTAAATCTGAGAAAACAAAAAAATTCACGTGAATTTTCTCTGATGTCCAAAAAATCTTAATCAATTTATTTTTTATTTTTGTACGAAACATTCACCTTTACGATCCGCCAATCTGTTGAAGACTGCGCGCCGAAGTAATAAATGAGCTACATAATTTTTATGTAGGTAGATTATAACAGGCAAAATAAAAATAAAAAAGTTAAAAAAACAACTAAAGAACAATAATGAAAGATCAACAAAAACAAAAAAGTTAGTTACTGATGTATGGTTTAAAAAAAATATTTGAAATTTTGAAAATTTTTTATTAGCAGTAGGTCCTTCAACAAGTTTCATTTTAAAGTGATAGAGAAATTTTTGCAGAATATAATACCATTTCAAGTGTTCAAGTTTGAAATTTTTCTTAGAGTGATATTAAAATTTAATTCTTGTGTATATTCTTTTCATATTTTATGATATTGAAGAATAAATATTGTAAAGAAAAACATAAGGCTCCTATTGCATTAACTATTTTTCACTATTTTTTTTAATCAATTAATCAAACAATTCGTAAAGTTTCCGTTCCGGTAAGAAGCGGAATAATAATAAACGACACAATGCGAATAAAAAGTGCTTTAAAAAGCAAGAATAAAAATAAAAATATAAGTGAGTGGTGCAAACTAGGACCTAGTTTTATTCTACATATTTTTTAGAATTAAAGAAATTTTGAATAAAATCATATTTAGCATCATTAACATAGTCGAATAGTCGAAGTCAATGAACTATTCCAAATAGCCTATTGAAAATTTGAAATAAACTATTGCATGTTTTATTGCATATTATATTTATTCTAGATATGGCAATAATCAATTGTATATTTTTGCATAAATTCTATAAAATACTATATAAAAAAATTTTTACTTAAATTTTTTAAAACTACCTAGTGAATGTTTTACCTCACAAATTATTAATTCGAGTTTATTTATTTTAGGTTTAATACATGCTATTATAAAATATTCAATTCAATTAAATTCTTTTTAATATATTCCATAATATATTATATTTCAAACAAAATTTAAACTTAAAAATAAGTACATAATATGAATATACATAGAATGCCTTAAATCAATTTAGGATTTCACGAAGATTACTTTGTGTTTTAAGACTAATAAGATTATTTAAGTTTACAGTAGAAATATACTGGGCTCAATAATCTAATTACGAAGAAAATAAGTGTTTAATTATTTAAAAATTAAGTAATCGGAAACTAAAACTTCTATTAGCACACCTTTATGCTGATATCACATAAACTGTATGTTTTTAGTTTTTCATTTCTCATTTTCTTGTTTTATAAATATTGTGGATATATATATGCATATACATATATATGTATATATAATCATATAGAGGTACACCTAAATAGTAAATGACTTTTTTTTTGTTTTGTTAGTTTTGCGGAGGTAGATATATGTATACACTTTAACCGATATATTGCATATTTTACTCCTACAATAAAATTATGAATGAATTTAGTACGTTCGTAGGTCTAGCGAGTTACACAAACGTGCCTATATTAATGAATTTTTTTTTTTTACCTGAATAAACTAATATTATATACCATTTTTATGACAGAAAGTTTATTATAAAAAATGATTCAATGACTGGTTGGTTGATAATTAAACTATGTTTATGTATGCAAAGACAAACTTTGTACGCAGTGTTAGAAAAAAAAATTGTTGTATGTAATTTTGTTTTAGGATTAAATAGGCATTCTAAATTCAAAAAAAATTTTAATGTATAAAATACGTTAAATCTGAAACTAAATATTAATTTTCTTAAAACTTAGTATAATGTAGATCCAACTATTTACATAGATATAAATAAATTGAATAACGTTGCAAAAGTCTTTGACTTCTGTTTTTTTTAACGTTCATACAATATATTATATAAAGTTATGTTTCCAGATGAGAAAATTTGATATGTACATAATATAAATGTAGAGAAAATTAGTATAATATGAAAAGTTATAAAAATTATGTATATGTAAAAATAAACATAAAGATATAAAATTAAAGAGTATGAAAGCGAATAATTAGGGAATTTTTTTAAAATTATTGTTATTAACAACGAAACAACGTGCTTTGCATTATAGAATTTTAATAATGATTACGGTAATTAAACTAAGCCATAGAATTTCATTCATCCGTTTTATTTTCATTTCATTTTCAAATTATAGATGCATTTTCTGCACTCCACCAATATTGTACAGAATGAACACAATGTTCATGGAAAGGTACATTTTATATAAATTGGTAAAAAGAAGGTAGGAGATTAAATTCAATAGTTTTATTTTATAGACAATTACTTACATGTTTGTATTATTTCACCTACACGCACTGATTTAATTATCTATTTGAATATTTTTGACGATTTTCATTATAAATTTATTAAACAACAGGCCGTCGTTTTTGTATATTTTGATTAATTTAATTGCTAATAATATAATAACCAAATAAACTCATACATTATCTATGTACATAATATACAAAATGTAAAAATAACTTTTTCAAAACGGTGTTTAAAGAATTGTAGTTATGTCTTGGAGTAAAAAAAAAAACATTTATATGTAAAGTAAAAAGTCACCTGCAGTTGTTAGAAACATAATGCCATCTGATATACTTCTGAAAGTGATTTTTTTAACAATTAGCGGAATTTACTACACACTCTGTTTTAATATTTTTGTCTGCTTTTTAGCATATCACTAAGTCGAAAAAGTTCCGAAGCAAACAACTCTATCCGCGATACGTACTAGAAAATTAATAATTTAGTTTTCTAGGATTGGACAAAAAAAATATATTTTGAGAATTAGTACATATATTTAAACAAAATTACTACATAAATATGTAATATTGGATAATGTAAAATTATTTTATCATTCATGTGCTTTCTAACATTTTTAACCATTTCCAGATTGACTATTGGATGTGTCAGTCACATCAAGACTATTATCATTTGCTTTGTTTCTGTCTGTCAAATTGATTAATGATTGAGGTATGTTTAAAGTCTACGATATTAAAATAACATTATGCAAATTTTTATTAATTAAAACATTTCATTTTTTTACCTTTCCAGGGCAAATGGCTTCGTATTGATGTTTTAAACTTTCAAGTTCGAATGTACAAGTTGACAATGCAGTTCTTAATTCGCATAAAAGAACTAGGTCTGATCTCAGCTCGTTAAAGGAATTACTAATTTCATCAGTTGGAGGTGGAAGAGGATCTAAATTAAAAAATTTAATATGGAAATTATTACGTATTTAAATTGTACCAGTTTGAAAATTGTTCTATAGAATTGACTCTTACCAACTTTAAACTCTTGCAGCGCTTGCTCAAGAGCCTTGGCTTTCTTTTGACCAATATTCGCAGGCAATTTCATTTTTTGAGATCGCAATGAAACACCTGATCCTCTTAAATCAGCAAATTTAATACCCGTTCCTGCAGTTTCTACCGCCTGTATATGAAAATTTATTAAAAAAAATAAAAATTGCAGTAAATATAAATTACATTAACTACAGAATCCAGTTTTGATGGTCGTGGCTGGTTATGTATTTTCTTTTTATAGAATTTCTTTTCATGTTTTCGAGCGGTTTGAGTGTTTTGCACTGAATCACCCTTAAAATACACAGACATTTGAGAAAAAGTTTTAAATTGAGACATAAAACATAATAAAACTTTTTTTTTTAAGACTGTTAGAAGCATTTAGATCCAACATATATCAAGTTACCTGATCAGCCTGTGATATCAGTTTTTGTAAATCCTGAGTTTTTCTTTCGCGTTCCTTCTTTCTTGCCTCAATTTTCTTTAATTCGTTAAGCAACATTAGCTCTTCGTCAATCTACAACATTAAAAAATCATGTTTTATAATAAGTAAATTCGCCTCATCAATAACGTGTACCTGTTTAGGCGTTCTATCAAATAATTTTTTGAGTTGTTCTTTCCTTTTTCTTTCATGTTCAGCATCGTAAACATAAACTTTTTTTTCAGGGTTTCCTTTTATTTTTTGTAATATTCCTATTACTTCATAATACCTTTCTTTTAAATCTTCAACAGATTTTGTGTCGAAATTAGCTTTATCCCACCGGTCAGCCATTATAATAAATCTTATATCAAATCTAAAATAAGTACTATAAAAAAAAGTGTTATTTTGACTGTAGTGAAATTCACCTTTTTGCTAAGTCAAACAAATGATCTGTTTGGGCTTTAGACCATTTTAATGGATTTGTTCTTAAATGTGTATTATACTCATTTACTGTATATGATGGTATCTGAAGTTGTTTGTTAAATTTAGCAAACGGATATTCTCTAGTATCGTCAGAAATTCTTTTCCAATGATGAAAGACTGCTCCATCTGTACGTGCAGGATTTGTAAATGGCGTCCATTGCCAGCTACGAACTTTTCTCATACCAAGACGAGCTTTTTGTTGTTTATACCCAGTACCGATGCCTAAGGCAGTATCTGCTGGTAGCAAAGGCGGAGCATCTTTATTATCATTGTACAGCAAAGCAAATACTTCCCTATGCATTCCTTCTGGCCTTTTACTAACTTTGGCTCTAGAATTTGTTTTTACTAAGACTTTAATTTGATCTTTAAAAAAGAGTTTCCTTAAAAAATTACCTTTCAAAACTTTTTTTTTTTGTCTGAAGAAAAGTGTCTTTTGTAACCTCGGGGCTCGGTACCCTTTCGAGGTCTAAAATATCGCGAACATCTGAATTCATCTTGAATTCTTTTTTATTGACAGAATAATTTTTTAATATTAGCTATATTGAATACCCAATATTATCTACAATTTACAATTTTGTGACCAAAGTTATTATGTATCTACTATTTTTTATTACTTTTTGTCGTTTGACATTAAGAAATAAGAAATATAAACGATAGTATAAAGCTGTCAAATACTGTCAGATATATAATGACAATTATGAATCAACAACAAAGGCTAAAGAAGTAGAAATAGCAACGAAAATTTAGCGTTGAATCCGTGCAAAATATTTTGTGTTCGATTATCAATTGTAATCACTTGTGCAAGATTAAAAATTGATTATAAACAAAATTCATGATAATTTTTTAGGGGTAAAGCTAAAAACCCTGCTTTAAAGTTTTAGAAACAATATTATTATTTTTGAAAATAAATACTGTGGGTATCGATGTATTGATGTATGAGAGAAAATTTTGCTATCCTATATGTTAGGTCAAGTTGCCTAAATAAGATACATAAAACAATGTATTTTACATTTTTTCCAAGAACAGTTTGTAATAACTAAAGCAATAGGCATATGGGACTTGCAGTTTTTAGTTTCACCATATAAGCAGTAAGGCATGGATCTTTTTTTAAATCTAATAATCCCTAATTCTTTGGTGTTGAACTAAAATATTAGATATTAACAGTGATGTCGACAACAATGGTTGTATGAGAGAAGTTGCAAATGCACCTCATCCATGTACATATATGTATGTATACATGTATGTAAGTAGCGGATTTGAGATTTAATAAATTCTAAAAACGTAATGGTAAGTAATTGATAATATAACATCATTTAGATAACTGACAACATAATTACAATTACAAAAGTATCTTATTAAAATTAATATAATAATCTTAATAAGATACATTTAGATTAATTAATTAAAGCAAATTCTCTCAATAATTAAAATTTCAACTTTGGACTTTTAGTGTTGAACAAAATCTCTTCCGATTGTTGACATGTTATTTTTGAATATGTTTTGCAAAGTATCTTTATAGAACGTTTTCAATTTTATGTGTTTCAAAAATATTTATTTTACATTAAACTATAAACTTTTTATCTATGTATACATATGTATAATCCAGCATAAAATATCAAAAGAAATACAAAATGCATCAAATACTTAATTTTACACATAAAAAGCATTTTAATTACCTGTGACAAATAATTTTTATTTCAAAACGTTAATCAAGTTTTACAATTATTTTATTTTTTATTTTTTGTATAATGGTAATAATAATAATGAGATAAAATTTTTAGATTATGGTGTCTTACTGTATGTATTTATTATGTGTCTTGTTTTTAAATCATATTTATAATTTTGAATACTTAAAAGTCTAAATTAATTTCCATACCACTATTTTATGCAGTTTATAAATTTTATTTTTGTTACAATATTTAAAAATTAATCTTATCGAAATGTTTTTATCTTCAATTGATTAATTTAGTCAAGTTGTACAATAAGTATGATATATACAATATATTCAAATTATATATAATAAATCATATTTTGTGTATTAGCGTAATGTAAATATAAACAATTTATTTTAAATTAAATATTACACTAACCTGTTTTTCATATAATTTTTTTGACAACATCAAATTAGCAGGAGGGATTATTCATATATGTATGGGGAAGAGAAAAACCGAATTTTTTATTAATGCCTAATGTTCTTTTCATATCTTTATGCATATTCCAATAAATTTCAGGATTAGCTAATAAAATAATTTCGATAAAACTCTTAAGATTCATTTATAAGTTTTATATAAATTTTTATATTCTCATTTCAAATATTATTTTACTTTGGTTTATTAAACTACCCACTTCTAATCAAATCAAATTTTTAGAAGACAGTTGAAAATAATATTATGTTAAAGGAATATTATATGTATATATATTGAGTTCTATTGAGTTTATCAGATAATCAATTTGGTATTTGCGAAATTTAACAATTTTAACATGATAATATTCGAAACATTGAGGCATTTTCTATTAAAATGTGTATTATTTATGTTTTTAAACTTTTAATAGATGTAAAATATAGGAAAAATTTTATAAAAAAATTATAAAAATAAAAAAAATTAGCTAGATAAATTTAAAAATTTTAAGGCTAAAAATCAACTTTCATATCACGTTTTGTTTGAAATTTTTAAGCAAAAACTTTATTACAAAATTTAAAATTTAAATTCACTATTTTAGCGTATTTAAAATTTAGCAGTCAAATATTATATTTAGCTTGAATATTTTTTATTTGTTCCTCTAAATTTTAATAACCAATTTTAATATGTCAAGTCTTTTTTGATAAAGATTCTTTAAATGTTACTTAACTTGAAAATAATAAAACTTTAAATTTTAGTAATAAAATTTTAGTGACATAAATTATATTTAAAAAAAAACTGGAAGTAAAAAGTGTTATGTAATATAACAGATCACTTCAAAATATACTCTCCCCAGAATATTATTTTGAACATATTCTTTTAATTTTTTCTTTTCAAATAAAAATTTCTATATTGATAGTAGTATTTATCAATACATATTACATAAATTATTCTTAACAGCAACCACTAGAAGCTTGACCTCCTTGATTACCAGCTCCTGGCATTGATGGATTCGTTGGCGAATGTTGTTGACCAATTTTAATACCGTTTGCCTAAAATAAAAAATTATGTTGACTCATTAACATTTGTTAATAATACTCTGATTTCAAAGTTTAGTAAAAAAGTTTTAAATTTGCCCACCTCATTGTTTATGTCGAACACTCCTTCCTGTATTTTTTCATATATTTCTTTTGCAGTGTTTATAAAAGCTTCTTCAACATTCGCGGCTGTTCTTGCTGAAGTTTCCATAAAAACTAACCCATGCTCTCTCGCAAAAACTTCACCTTCTTCTCTCTTGACTTCGCGTCTTGAATCTAAGTCACTGCACAAATATATTCATTGAGTTCTTCTTAATAACCTAGTAAAAAGATAAATACCTCTTATTTCCAATCAGCATAATAACCATATTAGAATTTGAGTGTTGTCTGGCGTCCTCCAACCATGTTGTCAAGTGATTAAAAGTTTCCCGTCTTGTAATGTCATATACAAGAAGAGCTCCAGCTGCACCTCGGTAGTAGGAGCGAGTAATAGACCTGTAATTATGAATAATTTTCGTGAAATTGGTCAGGAAAAGCGTATATGTATTTTATTTTATATTTTTGTTAATAACCATTCTTTCATATGATTCTCATTCATATCTCTTACGTCATCATATAAATAATATAAGTTATTGAACTAATGTTTATTCAACTTTAAATAACTCTCCCACTACTTAACGAACTACTATGTTTGTTTTATATAAATATAAACATTAGATATACTAAAAATATACACACACATATAATAAAAATACAGTATTTTCAATAACTATTAAATAGATATTTAGGTTTTCATTTACATGGAAAAATAAAAGGCTGATTTTTCACCCAGTTAAAAAATGCAGTATACAATTAGTAAAGCACGGTATGTATTCAATCAGAGTTCTAGGTGGATTAAGGAGAAACATGTTTATAATTTAAATTAAAACAAAAGAAGATTCTTATTAACCAGCTAAGTCTCCTATTTTCATTATACAATGGCAAAAATAGCTTTGTGTGTATTTTAAAATTAAATTACCTAAACGCTTCTTGTCCTGCAGTATCCCAAATTTGCAACTTTATTTGTTTACCATCAATAGTAATCATTCGGGCCCCAAATTCAACTCCTATAGTTAAATCATGAACTGGTTGGAACCTTTTATCAGTAAACTGAAGTAATAGACATGATTTTCCAACACCTAAAAATAGTTTTTATTACATTGATTTAAAATAACCCAAAATAAAAACTTTATAAACTTTATTGCAAAGACAAAGCCAAAGAAAAAATAACTTTATAGATTTACATATTTTGTAGGAACAAAAACTTAATACGAAAGCAACTAAAAAAAATCAATAATCTTACCCGTATCCCCAATGATAATGTATTTAAATAAATAGGCGTAAGACATTTTTACAATACCTAAAAACAAAACTACGATTGTGTTAAAATTTCGTTTAACGCTTTTAAGAACTATGAAAATTTTTTATAAATATTTCTTAATTCACTTGAAATAAAATATATATAATTTTTTTATTCAAAAATATATAGTAAAGAACTTCGCAATATATTTGGTTTAGATGAGAAATTGCCTTTCTTTATTCTTTTGTCTTTAGAAAATTGAGTTATACAAGAAGCCCGTTCAATACGCAAATGGTTTATGGTAGCTGTATTTAGGGATTTGCGTTTTTCTCTTTTAAAAGAAAATTAATTTAGCATGGGAACACTCCCAGTTAGATGAATTAACTTTCGTTTCAAATCACGAAAGCAAAAATAAAAGTATTAATGTGACTAAGATGTGTGAAGTATAAAATCACAAGATTCTTAATTATTATCATTTTGTTTGAGACTGTGAGCACTTGTTTGATTTTGAATGAATTTAAGAAAAATTAATAGCAATGGTGACAATAAAACAAAGTTTCGTTTTTTGTATAATTCGAATAACAATTAACAACGACTAACGAGTTCTTTCAATGAGAGGCGACGTATAGAATGTGAAATTTTAAATATTTAGTTGTGCTTTTATGTGCACATGTTTATCAAACTTTAATTTTTCATAATATTTGTCCATCATTAAGTATTCTCATATAAAAGTCTATTCTCATCATATTTTTTATAAGTAAAATTACGATAGCTAATTTTTTTGCGAAGGTATTAAAAAGCGACCGGCTGATTATTATTCGATTATAATTTTTGTAGCAAAATGTTAAATTTTTATGTAAAGTCTGATATCATTTCAGTTTTTTTTATCAACAGTCATCAAAATTAATCACAGATTTAATTTTAGATTTTGTCGTATATGTACGCAATGCCAAATTTACATGTACATTTACATGTACATTTACATGTACACATGTACTTCAGAGTTTGCATGTCAATCAAAGATTGATAACCATGATTGAGATTGATAAACATCATCAATCAATCATTTTTATAAACCTGTTGAAACAATTTATATTTTTTCGCCAATAATTTTTGACAGAAATAAAACGAAAAATGGCGTAAATATTTGATAAATAAAATTTGTTGTGAACAGTTGTTTTAATGTTTTTTTTTTGTTGCGATTTGTTATTTGATAGAGAAGTGGCAATTTTTTTGGCTTTAAAATTTAAAGTGCTATATGCATAAAGACTGATTGCAATCTAAACATAAATTCTCTTCAATCTTTATCAATCTCAATCATGATTGTCAAACTTCGTTATTATAAAACTCGGCGAAGCATTCATTTCTTTAAAAAATTATGTCGTTTAAAACTTAAGAAATAAAAATCAAGAGGAAACAAAAAATTCCAATATTAAAAATTTAAAAAAACTATAAATTCCGAATTTTTTTATTATAACTTTTTTTGCCTTATTTTTTAAAAAATAATTTTTTTTCTTTAAGTTAAAAGTCATAAGAAATAAAAAAATACAAATAATTTGACAATTTACATTCGTATTTCTTTTCAGCTGAAAATAAGAGAGAACATCATAGGTAATATTGATAGATAAGAGATCCTATTAGAAAGAAAAGGAAAGTTAGATCTTATATCCAATCTATTTATTTAATTTCTCTATGGCTATACTTAATATGTACATATTTAAAATTTCATCACATGTCAGTTGAAGTGTCAAAAATTTAAGTTTGTCATTTATAAAAAGTGACTAAAACAAAGTTCTTGTATACCTGCCCTTCAAAAGAATAATAGTAATAGTTCCAATTTTTGAATTACATTACTTTCGATTCAAATAAATTACAAAAAGACTTCTAAATTTTCTAAACATTTATTAAAAAGAAATAAAAGAGAATATTGTTCGTTTGGAATGGCCGAAGAGTGTAAGTAAAATTTAATATTAGTAAGTTCAACTTTTAACTTGATAAAAATATAACCATTTAAAAATGTATATTTTTCAATTAATTCCCTTTTTTCAAATTTTAATAAGATTCTTTAAGCATAATGATTTTCTTTTATGACTAAATAAGTTGTTCTTGCAACAAAATTTTGATAGGGTTTCAACGTGTCATGAGGTGTCGCAATGGTTATAATTTTTTTTCGAATTAGAAGCACTGGAATAGTCCAGTTCTATATATTTTGTATATATTGGTACTTACCTAACTGCTTAAAATTACAAACTTTAATTAAATTTAAAAAAAATAGAAATAAATTCCACTTTTAATTCTAATATGCCAGGAACACAAGAGAAAAATAATAACAGATATTACTGGAATGGTGACTCAAATCATTTTTTTTTAGATAAGCCCATTTATCAATTAGAATGTGTAATTGGTACTCCTAAAGATAAGAAATTTAGAAAGTATTAATAAAAATTTAAAAACTATTTAACAATATTTAAAACAAATAATTTACAAATACTTCTTTTAATATTCAAATATGTTCATATTTGTTTGTCTTTTAGTAGAATTACAAAGTTTTATTTACTGGAAAATAGAAGCGTTGTACAGTGAACAACTAGATTGTTCATCCATGATTCCCTAAATATTTGGAAATTGATAGATATTTGATTATTTGATCATTAAATTATAATGATGTTGAAATAATAGTTTAAATGTTGCTCACTAGTATTCAAACAGCTCAATTGTAAATTCGATTGTTTATGTTTTTCTAAATAAAAAAAGACAAAGAAAATAAAACGTGGCAATACAATACTTCCCTAATAACAGAACAAATAATATAATGTTCAATTTATGATAAAAACATATTTTTACTTTAATTTGTTTATTTCAGAATTTCGCTTTAATTCATGTTAGTTATGCATGTATGCATATCCAACTGTAACTGTGTATTTCTTTGCTATATCTCGCAAACTTTGTAGAAATTGCTATTTCGCTTTTTATTCAATCGAAATATCACAAACCAATTATATACTAAGGCTAATTGTTACATCTGCTTTCGAAATTATTAGCTTTTTTTTATCATGTTTGTTCCAAAAAAACTTATGTAGTTACCTTCATATTGACTCTCTACATACATACATACATCTTATTATAAAACAAAAAACTCTTAAATTAAAGTGAAAATAACAGTGGCGAAGCACAAGAAATTTGAATTTTCTGTTATATAGCTCTTATAAAAAAGTTAAAATTAATCGATTTTTGATGTGGTGGATAATGCAATTGTTTTTTTATATAATATACACAAAAAAAATTTTTCAGAGAGAACAGTAAATTTTTTAATTTTTGTTTTTCAAAATATGGCTCAACAGCTACTTTTTTATTAAACTCTGATCAATTTACCATGAAAAAATATCATAAATTAAGTATTTATATGAGCAAAAAGCAAGAAAAAGAACAATTCAGCCTTCAAAAATAAATCAACATAGAATTTTACATTAATTTAATTCAAATTAAATGGAATTTTTTTTTTTAAATTAAATCAAAAATTTAATTTATTTAATCTACAAAAAGTGGAGCATTTAATTCTAACAGCTTCAGAATTCCTCATACTCGATGAAGTTAAAGGCTTCGCGATTATTTGCAACATAAGCATAATGCATTTTCTGTATCTGTAAAAAAAAAGTGGAATTTTTATCTGTACATACTAAATTTCATTGCTGGAATGAGTCGTCAGTGATAAACAGATATTGTAGCGCTACTCAGATGTAACAGTTCTTTGCATTTGTATATGGATGCTTAATATGTTTTTATGATCTTCTGAAAAATATGCAAAACCTTTTAATAAAATTAACTAAATCCCATTTGTCACATCAAATAATTTGTATAAATATATTGTTTAAATTAATTAAGTTATGTCTTTTAAAAAAAAAAAAGTTCCACACATGAAATTTGTATTAAATTTTACTCAAACATGAACAATTTAATATAGCTTGAGTATTAAATTTAAAATTTTGCTTAACCATCATATTATGGTTTTTTGAACTATATGAAAATACTAAAAACACAAAGTTAACTTTCATATTGAAACTCCAAAATAGCTTTATTCCTATGAACTTAAGTGTATAACTCTATACCAGTTTTTTTTTCATTACTTTTCTTTTCTGTTTTTTTTTTTTAATTTTCCTCTTTTGTTATAATTTTTTTTACTTATTATACGATCATTGTTGAAAAAAATTTTTTTTTTTCCTGATTTTCAGTTAAAAAAATACGGCCGCAAAAGTAAAAGAATCCGTGCGTAGTTAGAATATACATTCATTCGAATTGTAGTAAATGTTAACTAACAAAAATGTTATTGTGCAAAAGAGAGAAACCAACATATATAAGTATACATTAACTGCTTTGTTAACTGGCTGAATATTGGTTACTAACCAACCATTGGCCTCGTAAATTTAAACATGAAGTAAAAATTGCCAGCTTTTCATATTTTTTTCATTAATTTTTTTTTTAGTCTGTATTGTTCACTTAAACTTATCGCGTTTATTTTTTTCTTAGGAAATTTTCAAATTGGAAATGTTATAGTTTTTTTGTTTTTTTTTTTTTTTTAATTTTCCTTGTGATTTTGTGAAAATATTATACTATTGATTTAATATTTTGAATGTATTTTCTTTTGTTGTTTTGTGTTTTAATATCAAATAAAAATTTAGTATGTAGTTTAAATTAAATACATTAATAGACGTAAAAATGTCAAACATGTTTTCAATAACATAAATAAGTTGTGAATGTTTCTGAAATGGTGATCTAATAATATTTATAATATACATACATAAATATTTCATTTAGTAAAAGAAGTAAAAGTTTGTAGCGAAAAAGAAAACAAAAAAAAAATGTGTGAAAATGAACCGATAAGTTTAGAATATATCGAAGATTCCTATATACCAAAGTTAGAAAATTGTATTACACCAAGCTTAGATGAAATTACTGAATTAGATTCAAATTATAATTCCATACCAATTAATTATGAATGGTCTGAAGAAACAGAATTATTTTTTCGTAACTTGAAATTAGATGAAATTCTAGTTGATAGTTTTGATTATAATAATGATAATGATGAAAATAGTAATGGAAATCAAAAAAATGATTATGAAAGTTTGGAATATCAAACAGTTGAAACAGAATTTTCTACTATTATACCAACAACAACGAAAGGTTTAAAAAATGATGTATTATTAAAAATTGCTAAAAGATTTCGTTTAAAATTCTTTGCAACAAAAAAATCAATGCGTGATGTTAAAGTAACATTTATAGATTTTTCTAAACCATATTTAGCACGTATTTCAAGTAGTGACAATTATAAAAAATTTTTAAATTTCGGCAGCACAGGTATTATTTTTTATTTTTTATTTTAAATTTATTGTTTTTTTACTTTTCTTTTTTAGTTTTAATCTGTCACATATAAAAAAATTATAAATTAGATGAAGAAAAATAGACTTTGAGCTCAATTATTCTAATTATTTCTATATATGTATAATATTTAATATGTTTTCATATAATCCAATGAAAAAGTAACTATCAACATTTTTTAAATAGTATGATGGTAAATTGGCAATTTTTAAACGAGTTACAATTTTTATTTTCTTTTTATTTTTTATAATAAAAAATTCGTAAAATAAAAATTTTAAGCTTACCATATGGTCAGTCACGAATTGATTATAAAGATTACGTCAAATAAACAGTAAACGTCATCAATTGCAACACGTTTGCAATTGTTATTTGTTTTGATATTTGCAAAAAAATGTTATGATGATCTTATGTTGCATACAAATAACATACAATCTTACTCAATATAGTGTCTATTTGAAAGAAAAATAATATGCAAATAACTACTTGCAAAACAAACATAGAAATAAAATAATTTAAAGTTACTTTCAAAGACATAAACATAAATGGATATTATGTACAAAGATTACCTTAATAAAGATTACCTTATTACAAAGATATTATTTTTTACCTTAAAAGTGGGTAAATGATTTTTTATATTAAAACTGTGTTTCTCACATAGTTTATTAAACTAAAAATACCTAATAATTTTGTATTAAAACCTGAGAAAAATGAAAAATATTTTTATTTAGATTTGCTGAAATCTGTTACAACATAATATTGTATTCCAAGTTGTCTTGGTGGCAAAAAAGCTTTTGAAATTCAAAAAATTGCAAATTTTTATTCTTTGTTTATTTGAACAGGTTATGTTTGCAAAGCAGTCTACTACTGCTATAATGTATTATTTATAATTGTGCTAAATGTATAATTATGTTTTATAATATTATCACTTTATATTTGCCTTATAATACCGATGGTATATTCTATGATAAATTACACATAAATTATTATTTTGTTGGCCACACTAATTTTTTGTGATTCTCCTCCGGGTTATATGCTGCAGTCATAACTATTGGTTAATATAATTATGACTACTGCTATATCCACTATGTGTTCTCGATATTATGTTTATTTCATTAATTAAAAATTGAAAAAAAAAATGTTAATAATTTTTCTAAATATTTAATAAAACTTACCTAATTCGATTAAAAAATTGTAAACAAACTTGTAAGATTGTTACATACTAGTTTCTAAATATTATTAAAAAATTGTGTTTACAAGAATAACCTATTTAAAAATTTTGTAGGGAAAGTACACTCAAAATTTCGTTTTATTATTACCATTGTCTTTAAGATAGAATGGCGTATTTTTTTGATTTAGTAGTTTTTTCTTATCTTTTATTTCATTCAAATTAAGCTTAAGTTGCCTTAAACTAATTATATATGAAATTACTATGGTTATACTATTGCCTATTTAACAATTATCATTATGTGGGAATAACATCATAATAAAGAAAAGTTGGTCATGCATTCATTAGATTTCTTTGTATATGAAAGTATTTTCTAATTGCATAACGAACATTCAATCCAAGACCATTTACCAAGAGGATCTTACTGAGATTTGTACAACATTTTTACCTTTTGATTTAGCTTAAAAAAATTTTTTTTTTTTGCTTGTCTCTATTATGGCTTTTTACACAATTTTTCAATGATACGAGTATATATACATAATGTACGTATTTATAAAAATTTTATAACTGAAAAGAGTAAAAAAATCATTATAACAACTTTTAAAGAAAGGCAAAAGTAGAAAAAAATTTTCTAATTTTTTTATTTTTTAATTTTTATTTGTTGCTTTTTTACAATTATAATTAATTTTTTTTACAATATTTCATACAATCAATCATAAATATTTTTGTTATCCCCGTATTATACAACACGTGTATTGAATATGTATCTGAGGAGGTAAAAAAAATTTTTAACAATCTCAGATTAGAAGGGAAACAAAAAATAATACAAAATAAAAGTAGAAAATTAATGAAGAAAAAGGGAATGGACCAATGAGGGTAAACTAAATTGTTTTAGTTAGTTTTCAAGGTAACAATTTTTATTTATATTTTACTCATATACACGTACATACATACATAAATATTTTTATTTTACTCCAAAATTAACACGCCATTTTATAAAAATTTTTGTAATAAATTATTACATAACAAAATCATTATTTATTTGGATGATGTTTTATTAAAAATGTTTATGAAAATTAATTAATGATTTTTATGAAAATGTTTTCAAAAGTTTCAACTAAATTTTAATATTTTCTCTTAATTTATTGATTTGGGTATTAAATACTTAATTAATAATATTATTTGAATTTGGTAATTCCAAAATATGCATATAGGTGTTACTGTAAATTTAAATTTATTAAAACACTTTAATTGTTTCGACGTTAAAATTGGGTCGAGAATTGCCCTTAATATTTCTTCGCTCATTGAAATAACGTATAGCTTCAAAACTTGCGACTCTTTTGATTTCAAAATATTTGATTTCTTAATAGTTTACATTAAAAATAATAATTGTAATGTTTTGTACTGAAAAACAAGGAACAGAAAAATTTCACTCTTTATTAAGTTTTATAAAACAACATTTTAAGTGATTGAAGACATTTTACGATATCTTGAAAACTTCAAATATTATAGATTTTTGCTCTGGTTTCGCGTGTTAGTAAACAAAAAATTGAACAATTTAATTAAAATAAATTTAGTTTTATAGTCATTGATCTTATATTTATTACATTAATTTTTTAATCATTAAACTTTATTATATTATACTACTATTATATATGAATAAATAAATAAATGCGAAAAGCGTGAAGAAGTAAATTTATTATTACTTTTCTTTTTTACTATTTAGTTTTATCATAACGTAAACTATTTAGTTTTTTATATTTATTTATTTAATCAGCTGTTTGAAGGTTTAAAACTGCATTAAATTGTATAGTAATTATATAATGATTGTGTTGTGAATTACATATAAGTATGTGCAGTAAGTATGTACATAAAATAAATGGGTATATGCGGTAATTATTTAAATAAAAATTAATAGTAAAAGCCGTTTACATAAATTACTTAAAACAAAATACAAAATAATACGATTGTTACAAAATTTTGTAAAACTTTTTTTTTTAGTTTGATACCTATTTAAATTAAATTAATTTTGCAATGCATATAAAAAGTAAATTAAATTTTTAAAATGTCATTGAAATTTAATAAATTACCCAGGGTTAGTAGATATGGATTCACCGAAATTAAATATTTATATTAAAAATTATTGAATTACTAATATTACATACTTTAAAATAAATGTTTTTTTTTTAAATTAAAATCAACTCTAACAACTCTAACAAATAATATCTTTGTAATAAAGTAATATTTCACTCTAACAACTTATTTTGTTGTTATTTTAATTCAAATTTAAAATTAATAATTAATTCCGTGTATGCACTTCGAAATAAGTTTCAAATTAACTTCCATAATTTTTTACTTTGTTTTTTGTTTTGTAAATTGTTTTAAATAAATTACTTCTTCCTGATTTTTTTTATACTTGAATATTATTTTTTTTATTTTAAGCTTAATTACAACATATTGATTTAATAAAAAAAATTCAAATTTTAGCTCAATTTATCAAAGAAATTTATTAACAATGAAAATCTTTCATTCCATGTGTAAGATATTTAAAATTTGTACATAAATATGCAAGAAAATTTATTTATAAAAAAATAATTTTAAGATTAAATGCACAAAATGAACAATAGATACTTACTGATTATTAAACTTTACAAGAGGGTTTCCTATTAATTTTAGCGAATTTAAAAATGGTATGAATCCAAAAAACAAATATATATAATGTACGTGATTCTTAAACAAAAATTCGATTCTATTTTATTCGATCAAAGCGACTCCAGGGCCTTACTATGTCATTCGATTTTCGTATTCGAAAAAATGGTAAGGTAGTACTAATCAATTTGTATCATTTCTGTAAATACGAAAATCGTTTCAAGGAAATAGAATTGAATAGTAACGCCCCAGATATAGTACTCCTCTGTTAACAGATGCCTCTTCTCTACTTTTATTTCGTTATTTTTTTGATAGTCATACATTATGCCAGAAACAGAAAATATACATTTAACGACACACGTTCTTTTATGAAATGTTTTGTTTGAACAAACTTTGTTTAATTAAATATAAATAATTTTTAAAAAAATGAATCAGTAACATATTAAATTAAAATTTTAAATTTCCTTGAATATTAATATTTTATATTCCAGTTTTTTTTTTCCAAAAAAATTTTCTTACTAAGAGTGGATAGTAAACCGAAGAGGAAGTGAAAAAGCTTTAAAATCACAATATTTTGTAATCATGTTTTGCTTCAACTCTTTTTCTTTAATTCACTTTTGAAAGTTATTTGTCGAAAATTTTCATTGTTGAGTGAATTTTGATTTTAATTTTGCTATAAAATTTTATTATATTTTTTTCAATTTTTCTTTATTATCAAATTATGAATAACACTTCATACTAGTAATACAGAGTAATCCAAGTTTCACTCTTGATACTTTTAACTTTTTACTTCATTAATGTTTTAATGTATCGTAAATAATCAATAAAAAAAATAATTTTATATTAATTAAAATAGTTAAATAACAAAATTGCTGTATTTTTTATTTTTAAATTAAAATGTTTTAAAACATTATACAACATACATAATTAAATCTGAATTTTAATTATAAGAATGTTATTCATTCTATTCGAATTAGTGAATTGACTCACATTGCTTATAAATTTGCTATTTTTTGCATTTCACTTTAAAAATTTGCCTAAATTAATTCACAGAAAAGAGTTTTTATTGAAATTAAATTTTAAGAGATCACACTCTTTATATTTAATTTGTACCTTAATGTAAAATAATATTATATCAATATTGTATATTAATTATTGCAATAATTACATGTACAATAATTATTATGACAATTATTTGTCTTACAATTTTTAATTTTTATCAATTGTATAATTGCATATATACTTACTTTTGTATCTAATTTTTTTTATTACAGATAATTCAAATAAAATGTCAGAACCAACTTCACCAGCGCATTCAGTTGCTTCAGCTGATATAGCTGCAGAATTTGCTGCATTAACAACTGAAGAACAAGAAAGACAAAGAGCTGAATGGAGTCAAGTAAATGAAAATTATTTATAAAAAAACTTAATATAATAGTAAAATTAATATCGTCTCTTATTTTAACTTTATTTTAGGAATTAGCCCGTGTGGAAGATGAAATTAACACTTTAAGAACAGTCTTAGCTTCAAAAGTTCGACATGCCTCTGATCTTAAAAGAAAATTGGGCATAACTGTATGGAGAGAAATAACTGATGATGTCAATCAAGGATTGAAAAATGTCAAAGAAAGCACAGTGTGAGTTACACTTTAGAAAAGAAAATTATAAAAAGACAAGGATACAAATTAAATATGTATATTAATTATAGCCTGTATAACACTTATATAATTATAAAGTTGAAGCAGAAGAATAAGATTAGAAGGAATAGGATTTTAACTTGATAAGAGTTAATATTAAATTAAAAAAGGGATTTTTAATTATCAGAGTTTTTTCAATACATAACATATTTGTCTCGTTTTCTGTTATTAGAGTTACTTACTATTATTATACGCGCGAATCAAATAGCAATTATGTCAGAATATTTTTAGGAAACTGAACTTCAGTTATTAAATAAATTCTCTTTGAAAGAGATTTCATTTTTTAGAGCATAAAAAATTTTGGAAGAAGATTTAATGCAGGAGGCTCCTGAAAATATAAAGATTCAAAAAAGTTGAAAGTTAATAGCTAATTTTGAAAAATGTTTTTGAAATTTCAATATTTTTTTTTGCTGAAAAAGATATCAAAATTTTGGAAACTTAGATACTGTTTAAGAAGAAAACAAATTTCAAAATATATTTCTAAAGCATTATTTCAGAATTTTTAGGTTTAAAACAGCTAAAATCTCAGCTAAGAACAATATTATTGTGTCATTTAAAAAAAATTTGTAGATTAGTTTAATTTGATTTTATTTACATAGCTACTTTTTTATCACCATTTCATATTAATATGGTACAACATATTAATGTACATGTTGTTATAAACTAATTTTCAGTAAATTTTAATTTATAATTTCATAATATGATGTCGTAAATTTCAATATTTCTCGGTTAAAAAAAAATTAATTATAAAAGAATAACAAAATTACAATTAAAATTTAAACAAGATTTAAACAAAAAAATTATTTTTAATAAATTAATTTTTTTTGTTCCAATATGGTTAAATAAGCTTTAGAAATATTTTTAAATTTTTTTTCTTCAAATTCTACATCTGTGCAATTGATTGATTTAAATTTTTATTACGTTAATTTTATTATTTTTAATTACTTTTAATTTCTTATTTCACAAAATCGATTTTTTTTGTCATATTATAATTTTATATTTTTGATTTTCTATTTTAATTTTATTTTGAATTTATTTACTTAGTTTCCAAAGCGTTGAATGTAAAGTTAACGAGGTTGCCAAAGCTGTAACTGAAGCTCCAATGTAAGTAAATTTCGTAAAAATACCTCAGGTAAAATACAAACATTAGTTTAAAATTAAAGTTAAATTTTTTTCTGTGGGGAACCTCCTTGTAGCATTATGTAACTCTTAAATCTCTTATATAGGCACTAACATGTTGTTTAAGTTATTAAACCAACCAAAATTATATCTCCATTTACTAATTTCTGTTACTAGGTTATAAGTTACATGAATTTAAATTAACTAACTAACTCATATCACAAATTTCCTAAAAAAATGTGCTGTTATCATTCAATATGTAATTATTATTAAAAAAACATAAAAATTTCAGTTATCAGAGAACAGAATCCGTTTTGAAAAGCACTGCGGAAAAAACATCTTCGATTTTTGGTGGAATAACTAGTGGTATTTCAAGTAAATTTTCGCAAATTAAAAATTCAGAATCCATGAGATCTATTGAAGATAAAGTTGGGTCGGCATATGAAAATGTTAAGGTACCTTTTAATTAATAAAATGCAAATTATAAATTAATGTTTTTTCTTTTATTTTTTTTTTAGACAAAAGTATCAACATCACGATCTGGTTCCGTATCCAGTTTTAATGATGATAATAATTCAAGAGTTACTTCACCCACTATACCAGAAGAAAAGCCACTATCATAAGATTTTTTTATAATTTAAAAAATTCTTTTTATGAACTGTGGTCCATATTTTGAAAAGGGCGAAAAGAAAAAATGAAAGAATAAAAACTCAAAAAGTTAAAAAAAAAATATTGAAATAATTTTTATCGCCCATTAAAAATATTCTATTTTATAATTATATAAGTATAATAAATACTTGCAAACTTATAACGTTTTAAACTGGAATTGTATACTTGTATTACATGAAAACGTATTTGTATGTAACAAAAATTTTATTTTCATTATTCTAAAAAATATATATTTATGCATTATAAAATACATTAAAAAAGGAAATCTTTTACATATTAATATAAATGGCATATTATGAAGTTATACATGAAAATTGCGATATTAATGAAGTTTTTCTAAAATTTAGCGTATGCACATATATATTGTATAACTACATATATATAAATATATATACAATATTAATTTGAATACATATTTATATATGTATAATACTTAATCGCATAATATTATTAAATTTTCTATCTTTCTTTTTATGCAACGTGCTTCATTTTAATGAAAAACATGCAGAAATTACAAAAAAAAAATCGGAATAAAAAACTAGAAATCAATTACGTTTTGTGATTTTATTCATCTTTTATAAATGTAACAATCACAGCGAATAAGAAATTTTTGACTGTTTATTTTTGTTATTATAATTTAATCAATTATTCCATTTGATTGCTATTGAAATTTTGTAAAACGAAACAATACACTTTATAAGCTAATAAATTATAAATGTGCCTAAAACTCAGTTCTTTGTTTTTTGTGTTTTAATATTTTTGGTTGTTTAATAATAAATAAAAATTAGTGAGTTTACTTGAGGAATAGAATTTTTCACAGAAGTCTCGTAAAAGAAAAATCAGTTTTTTAATAAATGCCATGTTTCTCTTTCTGTTCAAGTACGTATTCTAATAGCAAATCTTAGTCATTGATCAAAAATAAGTAACTTTGATTTATTTAGTTATCCACTAAAATAATTTTTAATTGTAAAAGCTGTTTTGAAGACTAAAAATATAATAATAAATAAATATTTTTGAAGACCATTGAAAAAATTACAAATGTATAACTTTTTCTACAAAATTGTATTTGTACTAGCTATACATTGCACTTCTAAAGCTCTTTGTTAAAGATTGTATTGATTGTAAACGTAAAATTATTTTGAAAGAATTTCCTAAACTTTCGGATAGCTTACTAAAAGGTTAAAGAATTACTTATCCAGAATTATTAGAATATTTGGATGCGTATAACATTACGGTAAAATTTTTCTTCTTCAGATTACACATAAATTATTGCAAAAAAAAAATGTAACTACATTGATCACAACGAAGAAAAATTTTGAAATGCCAGGCAAATCAAACAAAGTTCGTACAAATTTTATCATTCAACGTAATTTTAATTTTGAAAAACTTTTCATACTGCGAGAAACGCTGTTGGCAAAAAAAATAAGAAGTTGTTTTTTTCTTAATTTTTATTTTTCATATATCGATTGCAATACAAAGTTTTGAAATAATTTACATAATTATTATTATTGTGATTTACTTTTGCAATTTTGCTGTAATATTTTAGTAATCTTACTTAAAAAAAAAAAAACTAACAACAATAATTTCAATTTAAGTACGAAAATATGTGAATAATACTTTAAAAGCTTCTTTGAATGATTAATGTTACTTAATTAAGTCATATACTATTATTATTTTCTTTAAATCTTAATTTAATTAATAATTATTACCTAATTGCTATACATGTAAATAACAAAGTGTGGAACTTCCTTTAAGAAGAAAGGGAAGTCTATATTCATTTGCGTATAAGAAAAATGATTTGTATGATTATTCTTTGTTATTTTTTCATCATGTGTAAGTGTATTATTTTAATTGTGCAATAATTTAACAATTCGACTTTGATCATATAAAAAAGTTGTTATTAAGACTCTAAAAATTTTAAAAATTGTAAAAATTGACATTCATTTTAAGTACATTACATTATATTTAAAAAATTTATTTAATCTCATTTTATAAAGATAAAATTTCAAAAATGATTTATCGGAAATATTTAGTATTTTTCATTTATTTTACTATGAATTAATTATTGAAATTATTTAGTTTTTTTTTTAAGATTTTTATATTTTAAAATTTATATTATACAATTAATATTATAATTATGCACTAAAAATAATTCCTATTGCTTCTAAAGTTTGTTCCACAGAAAGAAAGTTAATGTTTTGTTCAAGTTCATATAATCTTATAAATATAACTTTTCTTGGAAGATTTTTTATTAGTTAAACTGAAAAATCTCGGTGTTCAACAAAAATTAGTTAAAAAGTCTCTTATTGTGCTTATTAACTGAAGGATAACAATTTTTTTAATATGTAGCAATACATATTATTTATAAAAATTATTTTTATATTTTTCGGTTTAACATTTAAACTAAATTAAGAAGTACTATCACTAGAGGTTGTGTTTTTAGTACGATTTCGTCGTTCATCACGTCTTTCTAAAAGTTCAACTATATAAGATAAAACGCCTGAAAATGCTATAAATAATCCTGCACAGTAGAATGAATCGTCCCATCTAAAAAAAAACATCATAAAAAATCATATTAGTTACTTTTTTTATAAATACTTTGTTAATTACTTCAAAGTTATGTCGTATATTAAACCAGCTAACGGTGGTCCAAGTAAACTTCCAATTCCTTGCACCAACAATACCAACCCATAAGCACATGTAAAGTCATCGAGATCAACTAAACTAACTAAAATGCTTGGAGTAAAAGAAAATGTACTGGCAAATGTTAACCCAAATACAACCGCCAGTGCAACCAGAAGGTAATAATTTGTCACAGCTAAGGGCATTAAGGCAACAGATAAACCACATACTATAATTTATTTAGTTTATTAGTGATTAATAGAAAATTATTTAAGTTTCCTACTTACATAACATGCATATTGAATACATTATATTAACGTTGAGCCATGGTCTATCTCCAATAAATCCTAATATTATCATACCAAGCGTATTGAAAATACCAATTATTGAAATCAGCAAAGCACCGTCCTCTTCGGTATATTTAAATTTAAGCATATGTTCAGTTATATAAAAGTATGGAATAATAAACCTAAAAAAATATTGTTTTATAGAATTAAGCTTATTAATTTCATTTTGCTTTCTTACCATATGAAAAGTAACAATGTTGACATATTAAAAATTGTAAACTTCAAATCCAAAAATAGTGAAAAATCGAAAATAGACTTTAAAATGTCCACAAAGTTGTCATACCAAGTCTAAAATGATAGAAACAAATGGAAAAGCATAAACTTTAAGTGTTATTTTAAGTTATGTAAATATTACATCTTCGTCTTCTCTTGCTAATGTCGTCATTGAATTTTTATATATATTTGGGCAAGATGACGCTCTTAGCCGATACCTAATAAGAAATGATATGTACATTTTCAAACTAATAATATTTATATGTTTCTCAACTTTACCTGTGTGTATTCATCAGAGCATTGCGATAATTTATTGAATTTCTATGTATTCTCATATGCTGAAAATAATGTGCATTTCGAAATGAATTATGGTGCTTAATACTTGGACGATATATTTTTTTTTTATTGTTGGCGTTGGTATTGTCCCTAAACCCACCATTTAATTTTACTTCTCCATTTTCTGGAATGGGTTCAACATTTGCAAAATTTTTAGAATTTTTCTTTGAATTTGAATCAACTAAAATTGATGTGTCCTTATTTCTAAGTAATGAAAATATTGTTGATTTTGTATTTACACTATTATGATTAAGAACATCTAAAGAGTGATAAATAGGTTCATTTTGATAAATATTTGGTGACACATCATGATGTGATTTATTGATAAGATTTTCATTTAATGACAAACAACTATTACGTGTATCTTCGTTTAAAAGATTTTTCGACTTTAGTATATTTTCATCTAGTAAACTGTTATTTAGAGATTTCAAAGAAACGGTGGATCTGTTAACTACTGTATCTATTGTAGAATTATTGGGTGAAATTTTTTCAGATGGTGAAAGTGTTTCCGAGCTGGCGATGTGGGTTTGTTTATTATTTAGGTTTTTTTTCTCAGGTGGTACAGGTGATGTTGGCGATTGAGATAGAAGCTGCTCATTTGAAGTTGAATTCTTAACAACTTTCTGTCTTAAAGATCTACGACTTTGACTCTTTATATCATCAAAACTTCCAATATCAGGTGAGTGCAGATACGTCGGTAAAAATAATTCACTTTTGTAACGTTTAACAGCTAAATCTTCCGGATCTTGTATGGCTTGATTTGCTTCGGTATTATAATTCGTAACCAATGTATCTAGGACAGCTTCCTTGGATGCACCATTTTCCAGAAGTTTCTTAATTTCATCTAAATTACAACTTGAATTTGAAAATGTTGTAACACTTTGAGAACGACTTTCCAAACGGTTTTCTTCTATTAACCATTCAGGATCCCTCATTAAAGCACCAAAAACACAAGTATGTAACATTGTACCAGCCAATATTAATGTAGCACCCCTCCATCCAAAATTCTCTATTAGCCTACAACGATAAGTTATCATAGAATACCTAAAATCAATGTTAGTTCATTTGAAAAAACTTGCCATTGTGTGAAAGGAGCATATAAAAAGGTTCCTATACCAGTACCTGATGCTCCAATTCCCGTTGCAAATGTTCTCTTTTTATCAAACCAGAATGCAACCGAGACTACGGCTGTAACATACCCGATACCTAAAATTTTTTTTAAAAATAAATTAATAATTTGAATACCTACAATTGTATAGAAAAAATTACTAGCAAAAGCATAATGGCTTGTTTAATGCAATGTACTTTATATGAACATTATTACAATTACCAAATTAAGATAATAAAGTAGGTAAATTTAATTAAAAAATAATTTAATTTTACATAACGTATACGTATATGTACATAATTATGTATGTATGTATTTTGTGCGTTTACACATGGTTCGTTATATTTATATTCAATTCTCATATTACACGATTAAGAGTGAATTTTGTTCCTGTTTGTTCCAGATTGACGAAAATCTTAGAAAAAATGAGAGGGCAAAACAATTTTTTTTAAGATAAAGTGCCGTAAATACTTTGGAGTAATCAATATAGAGACATATTATTAGATATTCATTTTTTAGATTTGTTGTTTCAGACAAGGAAAACCTGATTATTGTACAGTCTGTCAATTGACTTTAAATTACATTTTTAACATTACGTCATGTTTTTTAAAAAATGTGAAACAACTGAATTTAGAGCTATTTTATGGCAGCTATATTCATAAATTCTATTCAAAATCGATAAAATTAAAATTTTAATTTTCTTACCTAATCCGAGACCAGATATTATTCCAAATGTTAAATATAACATTTCTATTGAATTACATATTGATGCCAATGCAAATCCTGAAGATGAAACTAATCCGCCAATAATCGTCATTCTGCGACAGCCATATTTATCAACTAAATTTGACATTATAGGACCAACTAATAACGGTACAGCTAAAAATAATGAGCCAATCCAAGCAGTTTTTGATTTACTTTCTTTAAAATACACCAATAATTCAGTATAAAGCAAACCAAATGAAAATGAAATGCCGTCAGCAATTAATGAAGTACAAAAAGATGCAAGAACAACCACCCAACCAAAACCACCATCAGGAATTTCCTGTTTTCTTTTATCTGTATCACCTCCTGCTGTTGATGTTGAAACAATTGAATCAACTTCAGATTCATTTGATATTAAACGTTTTCGTGGCTTTTTTTCATTATTATTATTGTTGTTATTCATTTGTAAATTATCATCGTCGGGATTATTTAAAGTTTCTTCTAAACTACTTTCGGATATATTAGAAAATTTTACTTCCGGGAAAAAAATTTCTTTTGCGAATTTATGCTTTTCATTTAGAATTTTATAATCACCAACAGTTTCTTCTTTTTGTATTGAAATATCCTCATCTTTGAAATTATTTTGATTTTTGTTAATCATTTTAGTTTTTTCTGTCATATTTATTGTTTATTATTTTATTTATTTATTTTCTTTTCTTTCTTATTTATTTTGTTATTCAATTTAAATATAATTTTACATGCATATATCTTAATCTCTTAACTTTACTTTTCGAGTTTTATTAACGTACTTTATAATTTACTTGTAAAACTTTTTAGGTATATGAAATTGGCAATGATTTTAAAAAAATACGGTTAAAAAAAAACTTTTTTTTTTCAATATTAAACTTAATTTATAACCAAAAATTTATAAAATCATTATATTTATCGATTGGCTGGCAAATTAAATTTTTTTTTTGTAACTATTGTCATAATCTATTTATACAGTGTTCACTTCTATTCTCTTTTTTTTAAAGCAGCACTTGCTAAATTCGTCCCTTTTGAGCTAATGTTATTATATGAATTTTTATTAAAAATAATATTCAAATTATATATTGGATTAAACTTTAATCTTGGATCCCTGGCTGTGTATTTTAAACATAATTCAAAATTTAAAATATTATTGTAATTATTAGTATTGTTATTATTACTATTATTATTTTTAATATTAGTACATCTTTTATTAGTCCGATTTTTACTCATAAGTAACCACAATTGCCACCAATAATATTTTAATATTTTTTTTATCACAGATTTATTAATTGTGAATTCTAATAAATTAATATTGTTGTAAGAGTTATTATAAACATTGATTGATGATGCAGGAGCAGCAGCAATTTCATAAACGCTATTACGTGATTCATACATGCGGCAAGATATTTTTTATTTCTTTTGTTTTTAAATAATAAAAAAAATTAAAAATTACTCCAAGTTTTTAATTATTTTTCTTTTTTATAATCTTTAATTTTTGTAACTCGTTCGTTTTTATATTTTGTTAATTATGATTTTTTTTTTTAATTCTAATTTTTATTCCAATTTTTATTTTAAAGCTATAAAAAATTGACTATTGAATTTACAAAAAGATGGTAAGTGTTCGATTTCAAATACGTATGAAAATTTTTTTTTTTTTATTAAATTCATTAGTAATGAAATATATGATGCTTGCACATTTTGACTTTTATTATGAAAATCAAAATTTTTCCTTCAATATTTTTTTTTTTTTGCCTTCGTATAATTTGTGAGATGATGAAAATCTGTAAATGGAAAAATATACATTAATTATAATTAATTAAAAAGAAATTCAATACTATTAAGAATTGATTAATATTTAAATATTTATTTTGTAATGGCGGTATTTCTTTATTAATAAAAAAAATATTAATAAGTATTTTGTTTGAGTATATTGCTGTATGCGTGTATGCGATACTTTAATTTAGGTTTTGTTTTAGAAAAAATATAATATTAAGCTTATTTTTGCTAAATTGTACAGAATATTGAGAGAAACTGAAATTATTTATTACTTATTTAAACTAAAAATTTATTATGAATTATTTTCATTTACCTTTAAAAGTATGTTTTTAATATTACAATTGTTTTTTTTTTAATGTGAATTACAAAATAATTTTTCATATTGTTATTTCATATTATGCGTGTCGGTAAGTATTAAAAATATATACATAAAAATATTGTTATAAAAATATTGTTATAAAAATATACGTACATATATTTATATATATTGTTATTGGCACAATTTCTATTACAAAAGAAAATTCTAATTTTATATGAATTGATTTTTTTTTATAAAATAATATTTCCCATGAGTATGACGTAAATGTGTATGTGTGTATGGATTATGCACATTATATATATTGCATTTACGTGCATTTAATAGACGTGTGTAAATTAATGAATTAAAGAAGAAATTTGCATACATAATAAAATTTATTTACCGAGAAAATCTTTTATAATTGTTTTAGTTACCTGGAATAATACTTGTAATAAGTACAGATGCTATTCGAAAAAAAAAAATTAAAAATTTTTGATTTTAGGCAATTTCATAGATAATTAGTATTTGTAATTTATTTTTACACAATATTTTGCTTAACAAAAACACTAAAAATTTTAAGTTAAATAAAATTTTTCAAAATTAGTTTTTCAACAAAACAAAATTTTATTTAAGAATGAGTGAAATTTTTAAAGGATTCCAATATCTTAAGTACTAAAAAATATGATAAATCTTATTAGATACGCCTCTTTCTATGTTCTGTCTAATATTACCCTTGCAACTCAATCAATCAATAATACACCAATATCTATTTAATATTTAGTTTATAAAGCAAATTATGATAGTGGGTTTCCACGGTTGCATAAATTTATAGGTTAGCGTAATCTACATATAGAATCAATTGAAAAATAAAGGCTTCAAATTATAAAATTTTAAAAATTCAATCATTAATTAATGTTTATCTAATTGTATAATTTGAAAATTTCTTATTAAGTATAATTGTTTTTAATTTCAAATTAAAATGAACACACACTTAATAGTGTTGAATCGTTAATTACTTAATACCGCAACATTGTATTTTCGTTGTCATAGATCCAAAGAATTAATAACATGGGAAAGAAATAAAAAAAAAATAAAGTTGAAAAATGGTAAAAAAAAAACAAATTAAATAAAATTAAAATTTATGAATTCAAGTTTTATACAAAACAAAAAAAATATTTTTGTTTTTTAATTAAATTTTGAATAATGTTCAAGTAAAAACCAAAATGAATTCCGACAACAGATTTATTTTGTAATACGAGTATAACACAAATAAATTGTTTTTGCAATTTTTATTCAGCCTTGCATTTATATATGAGCTTCATCTACTTCTTTTATTATAAATTATAATTTTATAATTAATTAAAAAAAAAAAAAAAACAATTTAAATCTATATCATTCAAAAATTTTAGAATAGATTTTTTTTTTCAGAATCTATTGAACTTAACAGTAAAATAAAAAATTTATAAAAGGTTAATTACCTTTGTTGACACAAAAATCAACAAAAAAGCATCAACTTGTTTAACTGGTATTTTATTTGTTAGATATTTCAACATAAACTATGATTAATTTATCGACAACATGATTAAATATAGTCAGATAGTTAAATATATATATGTATATGCAATTATCTATGTTGGTCTATGTTAGTTTTTGATTTTCTTTATTATACTGTTAAAAATCAACATTTGAAATGAAAATCTTTTGGAGTTTATTATTAAAGAAAAATTATTTTCAAACGCATCGCTCGGTATTTTAATATGACAATGAAAAAATTAGTAGCGCATTGTACTTAAGTCTATGAATAAATAAATTTCTAAAATAATAAGAAAAATTTCTCGAAAAATTGTAGAAAACATTTGATTTCAGATAAGTTAAGATTTAATCAAAAATCTGATTTGATTTTAAAATTACTTAATAATCATTATTTTGATAAAAGTTCCCGCATTCAAAAATAATAATTTGGGGACCAATTAATAGTGTATTTTTTTAACGAAATTAATTCGGCAATAAACTGTTTTTGACGAATATTCGCCGATTGACAAATATATTCTATCGAAAAATAACAACAATTCTGCTATCAGAAATATTTCGATTAATGTGTATTCTTTCCATTTTTTTTTTTCAAATTCTTGAGTTGACCTAGTAAGTAATATGATTTTTCTGAAATAATCCACATGGGTTGGCTGAGCCAAACAAGTTTATTATGATTTTTATTTTTTTTTTTTTGTAATTCAATATGATTTTATTGAAAATACATTTGTAACTATGTATTTTAAAAATTTGAACATTAATTAGACCTAGACAAAGGTATCTGAAATCAAAATATGTAGTTGAAACTATTATATAATTTTCTTCAAACAAATTACACACCCCATCGTATTTGAACATTGCTTTGAATATTATTCTTAAGGTTTTCCTTTAATAATATTGATTTATTAATAAAATATTTTTAGTATAAAATAACAAATTTTTAAGTATTGGGTATCAAGATTTTTGTTAGTGTGTTTCTATTTTTCATTTTAGATTTTAAGTTTTAATTTAGTGAATAATACCTAATAGTGATAATATCTAATTTAACTACCTAATATAATTATGTCCAGTATTATAATTTTACATTGATTAATGTTAATAAGTAATAACTTTATTAAGAGGATAATAATTAAATTTGTAAAATATAGAGATTTCTTCAAATAATTATATAATATGTTATACAAGTATGTTACTTAAAATATAAATTATAACATAATAAAATGCAAAGCCAAATTAAAAATAAAGTGGAAATATTGATTGCAAAATGATTTCATAAATAAATATTAAATTAAAAATTTACTCAGGATTATACCCATATAAATTCATTTAATAATAAATATGTTTATTAAAAAGCAAATTGAAAATCGTTCATTCACCTACACAATATGGTTTAATTATACGCGGTATTTTTGTTATTTAACAATTATTAATAGTCTCTTACCTTATAAAAATAATAATTTTATTTATATACTCTTATATATAATGCATTGTAATCTTCATTACTGACATTTTACTTAATGTTGGAATATAAAATTCAATGTATGTACTTAAATTCTTTAAAAATAAACATAATTTTTAATAATATTGAAGTAGAAATACTAATATTAATTTGAATTTTAAATAATTAATTTTTTATTTCAAATTAAAATTATTAACTAATTTAGTAATGTTTTTAATATATATTAAATATTATGATTAATTTTTTAAGCCAGTTTAAAAATTATTATTATTATTTATTGTACTTAAAAATTAAAATATTATTCACTAATTCTAATTTTTTATTAGCCCCGCTAATTTTTTTTTAAATTCAATTTCATAATAGATTTTCACTTTACTTTTTATTTTAAATTCTATTTAATATTAAACCACAATTTATAATAAATCTACATTATTTTATAAAAAAATTTGAATATTTCATTAATCTTTAATTAATAAACTCAAATTTATTATAATTAATTATTATATTTTATTTTTAATATTAATTAATTAATAATTATTTTTAATATTTTATTAAACATTAACACTATATCTGTTTTTTATTGATCGTATATTGAACGCATTTTTATATTTTCACCGATAAATCAAAGCATAACGTTGTGCGCTTTACTAAATTTAAAATATGAATGTTCTTTTTCTAAATTATTTTTAATATTTTTTGTTGTAAAAAAATATATATAAATTGGTACATTTACTATATCCAATTATTGTTAAAATATAATTTATTATACTTGGTGGTTTGCAAAAATACAATTGAATATAGTATTACATTTTTATTTTCATATACAAGCAAGTAAACCATATTATATTGTAAAGATATGCAAATGTACGGGCTTTTTAAAATATTTTTTCATTTTTCTATTTTTTAAATATATTTTGTTTCAAACGATTACAGTAATTAGGATTTTGTCAATTTAATAATTGAATTTTCTCAATGTTGATTTACATATAAAAAAAAATCATAATACATTTACCTCAGTATATAATAAAATCTACTATGTATAATAAATCTATTATATGCAATCCTTAGTAGATAATAATACATAGCTCTACGGGCAAGTATATCGTATTCCTAGGAAAATCATACAATACACGGTCAAAAATAATAATCAGCATGATAATCCGCAAGAGCCAAGATTTTTCTATTTATTTGAATTTAGCATTATAAACGTATAATTTTCATATTTCGTTTATTATTTTAACATTTTGCTCAACATTGCACAAACAAATTCAGTATAACAGTTGTAAATTTGTGAATTGGAAAGGTTATATATTAAGTAATTAGTGAAAATAAATGAGCAAAATATAATTTTTTTTTTAAATTTTACTAATAAAATTAAAAATTTTACTACTTTGTTGTCAAATTCCCACGTAAAATCTGTCAGAACGGCCTTTATTATATACTTAAGAGCCCAATGAGAAGTTTCATGTCAAATAAATGAAAAGTATACATTCGAGTTTAACTTGCACATATTATACACAAATATACTTATTATACACGTCAATATAACATTTGAATGTATAACAGAAGATTGTTGTTATTTTTCCATTTTAAGTATAACTATATGTATTAGATGTAACAGGGTTTTTTTTTAACTTATATAGAATATTTCTCTTAAGTATAAGTCAATAATATATCACGGATTTCAGAAATAAAATTTTTATACATATATTGAATTT